ACTGGTGTTCGTTCAACGTCCCGAGGGATCCAGTAGGTAACCGCTCTGGTCCAACGGTGATCACAAAATCGCATGACGTCCACATGGAAACATGCCCTCAGAAAATCATCAATACATTGTTGAATCCATTTGTGTTTATCCTCAAGAGCGGCATCACGTAGCAAAAGGCCGCACATTTTCGACGCGTTTCATCATTTCATTTCCTCCATTTTTGTTGGGGTAAATAGAGCTAAAAGGTTACTAGATCGACTGATTTTCAAGAATGCACGTAGTACAAGCTGTTGGCTAATTCCATGAATCGAGACTAGAAAAATCTAAATGTATTTCAAACTCCTCAGCATAAAGGCAAGAAAAACAACGCTCCTGATTTCCATCATTTTTTTGCATATCTTAGGCAAGGACTGTCCTTTTGCAATCTGCAGACACTGCCCTCCGTTGTATTCTGCAAGCTGACAATATTTGACTGGTTTTCGCACTACATCCCAATGGTGTTCAAGAGCAGTAGCTGGAATGGTAATTTGTCTGTTTTTCGTATATGTCGATGTTCCGAATGAAAACACACCTTTATGTCAACGCTAAAGTCCACGCCAGATATACCTACCTACGTATAAATAGAAGGCGAATCAAGCAACCTCTCATTCCTCAAATCCCTCTTTCGCAACTACTTTCTGTTGCTTCCTGTTTTGGTTGCTGTTGAAGACTCCCTGCTGTTTGTACCATGACGGTCCTTTTGCTTGTTCCACTTGTGGCAGCACTCGTGATTGCTAGCTTTTCCGACGTTGAGAAATCCCGCATCATAGAAGGTATCAAGAACCTTACTCTAGGAAAAAATGCTAACAAGACTAAACGACTTTTAGATCGCATCACACAGGTGAGAAAGCTCTACTAGAGGTTGTGATAGCGACATCAACTAATATAAGACTTTCATCGACTAATATAAGTACAGGACTTCGACAATATGCCCCTTCTCCAAAAATACTTGAACGAATCCGAAGAACCGTTGAATACGAACATGACTTTGAGTGAAGAACAGGACAAGCTTCTAGCAAGACTGAAGGTTAGTAATTTCTATCGATGACACTGATCAAAACCAGAACCTTGGACATTTCAGTCGCTTAGGAGGAAAACTAATACATGCAAGGAAAACTCAATTGAAGGAGTCAACGCGAAGTGTGGAATAGTAGATGCGCTGTTTCAGGGAGATATGGTTCTCTCCAAGTGTGTTTCCTCTTCTTTTAGAGCAGATGGCATGACAAATTGACTGTTGGTCGGAAATAACAATGATGAATAACTGCAAAGAAGTGCAGTGCGCAATGTCTGAGGAAAGTGACTTAAACCCTTGAGACTGATCGTGGTTTTCACAGTTGTTTTCCGACAAATGGGTCTCCCGTCAATTCCAACATTGCGGTGGTGACTTCATAAACGTAAAGTTTTCTGCTTGAGTCCTGAGTCTTTAAGTTCCTCCCCCTCCCCCCAATGGCTGCAATTGGTAGCCAATTAGCAGCCATTGGGGGGAGGGGCAACCTCCCTCTATAGTAGTTACTTTTCTCTCGATTCGGCAACAATTTACCGTGCAACCTGCCTCCAGAAAGTCTTCATAGGATATATACACTCCCCTTGTTTCTTTTTTTCCATTTTAGAGATCAACAAGACGAAGTTAATTGCGAATATTAGTGGTAGTCGTTCCAAGCGGCAAGCTTACAACGATAAAACCTACCCTGGCATGAGATGGCCAAATGGCGTATCCTATTCGTTGGACGGTAGCTTAGGTTTGCCGCAATCTCCCTCACATAAGAAGAGTAGGCGGGGTATTCCACAGTATGTTCAGAACCGAAGGCAAAAGCGGTGTTCAAGAAAGCAGCAGAATTATGGATGGAAAACACGTGCATTGACTTCAAGGAAGACTCAAATGAAACAGGTAAAAGATGTACGTTACAGCAGGGGTTTCCGAACATTATCGTTTCAGCTGAGGACCTCCTTCTTGTATTCAAGGAACACGGATGTTGGGCAGAAGTTGGCAGACAGGGAGGATGGCAATTGCTTTCACTCGGCGACAGCAAGTGTGAAAAGGTGACTGCTCAAAAATTCCGTAGGGGTCCATGTACCAAGGAAGCCAAGTTTTTTTTAATCATTTTTAATATTATGTATTTTTCTCCGCAGACCGGGAATTGGTAGCTCCGAGATAGGCCATGCACTAGGATTCTGGCATACACATGCAAGACATGACCGGAACGATTTCATCACTGTCCTTAGAAGTAACATCCAGGTAAGATTTGCACCCGCTATAGAAAGAGTAAAATAATGCAGATGGCTTTAGCGTGACCGCCGTAAAAATTTCGCGAGGCAATCAAGGGAAACCAATAAGAACTATAATTTAACGTATGACTACGTACGTGATGCATACGCGACCGGAACGTGAGGCCATCTCTGCTGATTCTTACAAGACTGAAGAAAATGATATTATGCACACAGCTTTGCCAAAAATGGAAATATTACTATTGTGCCCAAAGATATTAACTACATGGAGACACTAGGGTCTAAGATCATTTCATTCTATGACCTCCTCATGATGAATATGTACTACAATTGCACTGGTGAGTGGTATATTCAGTGAGATTTGCGTTCTCAAATGCTAATCAAGAAGAGAGTGTTACAGACGCCTGCAAAGACGAAAAAACGAACTGTTCTAATGGAGGATTCCCTCATCCACGTAATTGCTCCAAATGCATCTGCCCCAGTGGATATGGTGGACAGTTTTGCAATGAAAGGGTGGCTATCCCTCCTAGCCTTATTCCCAAAAACCGCTTTGAAGAATCATTTCAGCCACCAGGCTGCGGCAATGTACTGAAGTGCAAATGGTGACGTGGGAAACGCTGATTGACAAAATAGAGGGTAATGAGACCGGGTCAGACGGCTATACCAGATGTAACTATTGGATCAAGGTGAGTGATTTACTGGAAGCTCATGCGTTCTGAATAAACTCAAAGACTGTGTCATAAGGCGCCAATCGGTAGAAGATAGAAATAAAAATTCTGCAAGTGCCTAGCTCGACCTTCGAAGGATGCAGAGATGCTGGTGTTGAAATCAAGACACATTCTGATCAACGTCTCACCGGATACAGGTACAAAGTGAACGTTTTCTTTTCGTAATGAAGTTGAACATTTGTTTTGTACCAGTATTCACGTGGAATC